GCACTTGCCCGCGTTTGCGAAACTAGAGAAAACCGTCAGCTGGAATTAGTGGTTGTTGAGAAGCTGATTCCGAAAGACAAAGATGCTCCCACCTCCGAGATCCGGAGTGGGGGGCAAGGCACCCACTCGAGGCAGGAATATCACGCAAATATTGCAGTGGGTGTAATAAAAGAGGAACTAATAATCAAGAATATTAAGGATGCTTTATACTCAGCGGCGGCGTCTGCCAGCGTCTGGAAAGTATAGGTAGGAATCACTTCAGCGTCTGCCAGCATCTAGCAGTGACCAGCAGTGTCCGGTATGAGGCGAAAAGATGGTGGCAGACAGCTGGTAGAGCATGGGAAGATAGGAAAGTAGCAGACTGCTGGTAGGGAGTATATAGTGATAGAGGGAGGGGTAGCAGTCAGCTCCTCCTATCCACATACTCTCCACCAGCAGCCTGCTACTGGTTGCTGGTGGTGCTGGTTGCTAGATCGATACCTATACTTCCCTAGCCCTCGAGTCGCTGCTGATCGCTGGAAAGCTGGCAGACGCTGGGACATCTGTACATTCCCAGTCGCTGGCGCTACCGGACACTCTGAACGTCTTTCCCATTGAAGGCGCAGTCTGGTGTTCTGTTGTGATGACACCACGATTGAATGCCTGGTCAGGGTGGTTGCCAGTTGTCTTCAAGCCCTCATGCAACGGGTCAAACCAGCATAGTTCAGGACGTCTTCTAGACCGCTTTCCAGGCCCCTAGAGCTCAAAAACCAGTCCCACAGACAAAGTTAATGTTCAGTCTTTATTTCATTATTGATATTGTCGTCATAACAAATTTTAATGGTACACGTCGTGAAAGAAGTGAAGGAGACCAGTGGTGGAGCGTAGATTAACTGCACCCAGCAGCTCGTACCGCATTGCAACATCCGTTATAAGAGTCTTGGAGGGATCGCACCATTGCTTGACAGACCGACTGAAATAAAATACTCTTCTGCAGTACAAAATGAGTAATTTATTCACGAAATGGAGATGTCTAGATATTGTTTGAGAGGATGGCACTGGGCGCGCTGGCTAGAAAGCAGATCTGAGGTTCAGAGTTCATTGGTAAAAGGGTGTTGCTTCACCATCGTGGTGAAAAAGCCTTCTACCGAAGAGATTTGAAATTCCACTCCGCCTCCAGCTGCGACACCCTTAGCAGAAAGTCTAGAAGCATTCCAGGAAGATTCGCATATTGCTGTGAAAGTTAGAAACGATTTTCTTGCGGCTAGGATGTTAGACCCATAGCTCTATCTGATTCACCATTGTGATAAGTGGTCGCCGCTACTGCAGCTTGCCGTTCGCGGATCGACTCCTCTCGTTAAACAAATACCTTCCCGTTAACCAGGATTCCTCACTCGTCCCTTCGGATAGCCTAACTTGCTTTCCAACCCGTACAAAAAAACGAAGTCAAACACCCTTACTAGGAATAGGATGCATGGCGCATTCTACTGTGAGCGCTCAAAGTTCTTCCTCATCATTATCGCGTGAGTAGCGCGCCAGAAAGAACATGTACTAGTTGTGGTAGTGTACGTTCTTGTAGGTACTGTCATGCCTAGAAAGTGGTGAGCTTTTTTAGTTAGTACCTGTCTATCGTATCCGCTTAGCGTTATACTGCTGTTCATATAAATCCTCACATAGTAATCACACCAGTAGGGATCTTGTACTGAGCACGGATCTGCAATGTCCAGGTTTCCGACAGCACTTATATCACATCGCTTTTACCATAGGTACACCACAGTCTCTGTTCTCTCTTTCACAGGGGCGTTTCAAGGGAGCTAGATCTGGCGCAATGCCAACCTAGCTCCCCTTGAAACGCCCCTGCGTCCGCAGCGAACAAGACTGTAGTGTATCTAAACCTGCCCTCCCCTGAAACAGAAGCTGGCACAGAACAGGCGACCACTTTTGAGGCCACGCTAAATCCAGTCCTCCCCCCTCAAACGCTCCAGAGTCCACAGCGAACAAGTTTGTAGATGGATCGAAATGTGTGTAGGTGGAACGGTCCAATTGGAGAGAGGCCACCGTTGTACTTCCGAAGCATATGCTCCGCCTCTGATAAAAAGAAATTTTCATTTAGGAATCTAAAGCGTGCAAAAGTAGAGCAAGCACTCAGGTTTGAGCGCGCGGTCGTATTAAGTGCAGAGAATAATGATTGCGACGTGTATAACCGGCACTTCTTTTTGACAACCAGAAACCGTGGTGTGCCTTGCGTTGGCTGGCCATGCTCGCTTCAGATCAACCCTGTTCGCGCAGACCATAATAAACACTGGCTATAAAAACTGTTTGTTTGACCCTAATCAGTTGTTCCTTGCCATTGTACAAACAAGTCATAGCGCTTTAGATTAAGGAGATTTGTTAGGCAAGGACAGTAGCGGCATTTTCGACAACGAAACTCCGGCCCGCTGGAGACTTTTTTAGCGAAAACCATAGGAAAATCAAAGACTTGTAGGCGTGCGTGGGCGTCGCGTGAGGATAACGTTACAACCACAGCGTAGGACTCAAACTGGTGGTCAGCGCGCTTCCGTTGTGGAAACGCGCTGACCCATCCTGCTTCGCCCCCTTATTCGATAGGTCGGTAGTATTCAAGGGTTATCCTATGCACAATGAGCCTGCCTTTTTTGGAACTGATAGGTACTCTACTCACAAATTGCTCAGAAGGGGCCACAAAAGCGTACCAAATCTCCAGCGAAATCTCCGTCATGGGCGCAGCGCTACGTGGCGTCTCTGCGACATCATCCTGCATTCGTGCGATTGCAAGGATGTTTTCTTTGGCCTTTTCTATCAATGAGATACATGAAGCTTTACTAACTCGCTGTTGTGTCCCTGTAGACACCACTGCCGCTTGACGACACCGTACTCACTGTATTACCAGTATACGTTTGAACTGTATTACCAGTATATGATTGACCGCTGGTAGGCGTTCTGAAAATTAATAACAATCATGAATTATCAACACTTATAGCGGGATACTTTCTGAGATGTGCCGAATGTACCTGTATGGATAATACATCGCCTGGGCATTCGAAGTGGAAGGAACATCCGAGTAATAGACCAAAGTTGAAGGATCACGAAGTCTAGTCGTCTTCAAATCGACTACACTCTGATAAGGAGCCTGCACTGGCGTTGAACTGGTGAAAGTGTTCACAGTTGTGTAAGTCTGAAAATGAGCAGCAGGTTGTCTGAATTCTCCATTTTGCTGTCCTTGAAAGATAATATTTACGTACTGGGCTAACGAAGTTACTCGACGTTGACTGCTGAAACCCATTTTGCAACGGGGCTCTTTGAGGGGCATCTGAAACACTTCAACAATCTAGTAACAGTCGATGACGACGGGGAAGGCTATGACAGTGTTGTGGGAAGATACGGTCTAAGGTGTCTGCGGTGTGAGCAAAGACACTCAGCACTTGCGCCTTTCCTTCTTCTCTTTTTCAAGTTTCCCTTTACGCGTTGCCTGACAAGATTCTAAAGAGGAGGGTTCACTCACACTGTGAGTAAGGTACAAATCCGACCGTAAGGTTGGCGAACAATGTGGCTCGATGGAGATACTGGCCAAACGCCTGGATGAGCTATGGACTTGCACTCTTCTCGCAATTTTAACTCATCTTTTT